GTCAAAATAAAGCTGACAGGAGTTCTGGAAGGCCCTGAACTTCCTACGATCCCCATTGAAACATTCCGGTGTGGGAACACGGGGTTCCGGTGGAGGTATGGTGACTATTGTTCCCGCGGGTGTGTCAATAGTTCTATGGGCTGGAGTTGCAGCTTCCGGGCCTGCGGGTGGAGTTACTGGCAGGGTGAGAGTCTGGAGGCATCCCTCCAGATGCGTATACCCCTCTTGAAGGGTCTTGACAGCTTGAGTGAGAGCCGCCAGGTGCTAACATGTGCTGTCCAGCGGAGAGGGGCCTCTTCCAGGCTCACACATGGCCTTAAGGTTATGTTAGGGACCAACCGGCAATAACCTCTAGCACCCCACAGACCAGAATTCCCCAGGGCGCGGAATCTAAGCTACGACCTGCTTGTTCACCAGAGCCCCTGATGGTGGGGATGGACTTGGAGCAGGACGAAACCAGGTCGCAGCCCCTGGGTACAAGCAGCTGTGGTAGAGGTACCTGCCAGTGGTACGTAGCAGGTAAGAGCCTGATGTGAAGAGGTGGAGGGAAGCAAAGTCAGCCAAGCCAGGTCGGTAACAGTGGAGGCGTAACAGTACAAAATCAGCAGGCAAAGGGATAAATGGGTCACAAGCCGGGTTTGGTAACAGGATGTCAAAACGTATAGGAGCAGACAGAAGAATGGTCAGACGAGCCAGGGATCAGAGCAGGAGACGGTCAACAGAATCAGGGTCAGGTAGGGTCAGCAACAAAGCAATCTCACAGGATACAACAGGAACAGCAGGAGAGACCATAAGGCAATTTGGACATTGCACTGGCCAGTTTAAATAGCCCGCCCGGATCCGACAGGCGTGTCTGGGTCCTAGTGCCTGCCTGGCGCCGTCATTGGTGACAGGCGCGCCTGGGTCCTAGTGCCCGGCTGCCTATAGGTCTTGTCGGAATCCTACGCACTCGCAGATCCGTGCGTCTAGGCAAACTGCGCGTGCGCAGACCCGCGCGCCGTGGCGAACCTCAGGATTCCTGACAGTATCACTCAGCATTGGACAGGAGGCATCGGGACAAGAGGTGGAGTGAAGTTGGTATCACTCCGGATGGGACAGGAGGCATCCGGACAAGAGGTGGAGTGAAGATGGTATCACTCTGGATGGGACAGGAGGCGTTGGGACAAGAGGTGGAGTGCAACTGGTATCACTCCGCATGGGACAGGAGGCGTTGGGATAAGAGGGGGAGTGAAGTTGGTATCACTCTGCGTGGGACAGGAGGCATCGGGACAAGAGGTATAGTGAAGCTGGTATCACTCCGGGTGGGACAGAAGGCATCAGGATAAGAGGTGGAATGCAGCTGGCATCACTCCGCATGGGACAGGAGGCGTCAGGATAAGAGGGGGAGTGAAGTTGGTATCACTCCGCGTGGGACAGGAGGCGTCAGGACAAGAGGTGGAATGAAGTTGGTATCACTCCGCATGGGCCAGGAGGCGTCGGGACAAGAGGGGGAGTGAAATTGGTATCACTCCGCATGGGACAGGAGGCGTCGGGATAAGAGGGGAGTGAAGCTGGTATCACTCCGCATGGGACAGGAGGCGTCGGGATAAGAGGGGGAGTGAAGCTGGTATCACTCCGCATGGGACAGGAGACATGGGGACAAAAGGTGGAGTGAAGTTGGTATCACTCCGCATTGGACAGGAGGCATCGGGGCAAGAGGGGGAGTGAGGTTGGTATCACTCAGCATGGGACAGGAGGCGTCAGGACAAGAGGTGGAGTGAAGTTGGTATCACTAAGCATGGGACAGGAGGCATCGGGACAAAAGGTGGAGTGAAGTTGGCATCACTCTGCATGGGACAGGAGGCATCGGGACAAGAGGTGGAGTGACATTGTTATCACTCCGCATGGGACAGGAGACATCGGGACAAGAGGTGGAGTGAAGTTGTTATCACTCCGCATGGGACAGGAGGCATCGGGACAAGAGGTGGAGTGAAGTTGGTATCACTCCGCATGGGACAGGAGGCGTCTGGATAAGAGGGGGAGTGAAGCTGGTATCACTCTGCATTGGACAGGAGGCATCGGGATAAGAGGTGGGAGTGAAGCTGGTATCACTTCGCATTGGAAAGAAGGCATCGGGATAAGAGGGGGAGTGAAGTTGGTATCACTCCTCAATGGACAGGAGGCATTGGGACAAGAGGTGGAGGAGTGAAGTTGGTATCACTCAGCATGGGACAGGAGACATAGGGACAAGAGGGGGATTGAAGTTGGCATCACTCCGCATGGGGTAGGAGGCATCGGGATAAGAGGTGGACTGAAGTTGGTATCACTCCACATGGGACAGGAGGCATCGGGACAAGAGGTGGAGTGAAGCTGGTATCACTCCGCATGGGACAAGAGGGGTCTCTTCATAAAATAATATGCATACAATTCGCCGGGTGAAAGTGCGTGTACATTCCTTCTCTGTGAATGGGGGGAAAGGTGAATGTCATTTGGATTTTTGCCAGTTGAATGTTTTCCATTGATTTAGAAAGGAAAATACCACATTTGACCAGTAGATGATGCTATCTCCTATGATACTTAGCAGCACCATCTCATGGCCAAATTCAGTATTTTTGTTTTAAAATCAATGGTCGGCTTATTATGGTTGGTTTAATTGATTCATTTAGAAGACATTTTCCCGCACTCACGGCACTAATACACCTCGAGGGTTTTGCGGGACCCGATGTCCAGGAAGAGAGAACTTCAGTGAGGAACAATTCCCTCCCTCCGTGTAAGATCTCTGATGTCTGTAGAAATTGTTTTTGAAAAACATTTCCCGCAGTCAGGACAGCAATACGGCTTCTAACCCGTGTGCAAACTCTGATGTGTAGAAAGAGAGGACCTTGCTGAAAAACATTTCCCGCACTCAGGATAGCAATACGGCTTCTCAACTGTGTGCAAACTCTGATGTGTAGAAAGAGAGGACTTTCTGACAAACATTTCCGGCACTCAGGGCAGGAAAATGGCTTTATCCCCCATGTGAGATCTCTGATGTGAGACAAGCTCTGATCTCGGTGTAGCACTACCCCCTTTGGAGTCCCGAGATTGGGTCCCCCTATGGCCCTGGCACAGCCAGGCAACACGCATCTTCACACAAGCTTGCATCCAGAGTCAGAGATCAGTCCTTGAGCTTTGGTTTGGTTGTTTATTGAAGGGACTTGAACTGGGATGGGGTTAGGGGGGTACAGGATGCCCAGGGAACTGATGAACTGAGGACAACTTCATAGAACTAATTACAAGCCTTCACTGAAGCACGATTCTCTGTTGGAGAGACCCTAGATGTCTCCTCAATGTACCACCCCAGACCCTAGATGTCTCCTCAATGTACCACCCCAGACTCTAGATGTCTCCTCAATGCACCACCCCAGACTCTAGATGTCTTCTCAATGTACCACCCGACTCTAGATGTCTTCTCAATGTACCACCCGACTCTAGATGTCTTCTCAATGTACCACCCTAGATGTCTCCTCAATGTACCGCCCCGGACCCTAGATGTCAACTCAATGTACCGCCCCAGACCCTAGGTGTCTCCTCACAATGTACCACCCCAGACCCTAGGTGTCTCCTTAATGTACCACCCCTGACCCGTGTCTCCTCAATGTACCACCCAAGACCCTAGATGTCTCCTCAATGTACCGCCCCAGACTCTAGATGTCTCCTCGATATACCACCCCAGACCCTAGGTGTCTCTGATGAACCCCCTCCCTCCTAGATTGTAAGCTCGAAAGAGTAGGGCCCTCTAACCCCTCGTGTGCTGTTTGTAGTTGCTGTATTGTTTCATGTATTGTTCCCCCCTCTATTGTACAGCGCTGAGCAAACCCTTTGGCGCTATATAAACTTGATGTAATGTAATGTAATGTAATGTCTCCTCGATGTACCACCCCAGACTCTATATGGCTCCTCAATGTACCACCCCAGACCCTAGATGGACTTCTCACTCAGCAATCTGGAGGTATCCCTGAACAGGGGATCTGGTTCCTTTTACTTTAAAAGTGGACAATCCCAAATAGGCAGCGAATCTGGTTTCCCACCAGAGTGCTCCTTCCCCTATCTGCCCAGGGGGGTGCAGGGGTACTCACTCAGATTCTCTCCTGTACCGCTGGTGGCTGCTTCTAGGCTTTCTTAGCTAGGCCGCTCCTTCCCTGACATACAGGTGGTCCTCACTCTGGGGACAAGTGAAATTTTAAGCTTCTCCCTTTCCAGCTCCAGACCTGCAGGTAGGCCCTATCCCCCTGGGCCTTCTTGCAGCCTCGGGCCTTCAGCCTGACATCTTCCTCACTGTCTTCCACCAAACTCTCCTGCAACTGAGCAGGTTCCAACACTTAAGGGTGTCCTGGCCCCTTTCCAACCCCCCTGTTGGGGATTGGCCCAGATCCCTCAAGTGTACAAGCCAGCCACTCCTCAGATCCACCTACTGCTTCTAGGGCCTTCCTCCTAAGCCCTAGAACAGGGGGAATTTTCGAGGGGCTGGCAGTAGAGCCTTTCAGCTCCTGACCACAATTTGAACTTTTTTGCTATTACACGTAGGCGGCTACTCAGCCTTCCTCACTGTCAATCAGGACTCTAGCTCCCCCTACCTAAACTAGGAAGGTGCTATTTTTTGCACAAAACATTTCCCGCACTCAAGGCACTAATACACCTCCAGGGTTGTGTGGGACGCCTGATGTCCAGGAAGACAGGAATTCAGTGAGGAACAATTCCCTCAGTCAGACCAGGAAAGTTCGTTCTCCTCCGTGTCCAATCTCAGATGACTGTAAGCAGAGGACTTCTGGGGGTTACACTTCCACCAATCAGAACAGGGAAGCGCATCTGCCTCCGTTTGCAATCTCACATGTGCGTCAAGATCGGACTTAGTTTGAAAACATTTATCACATTTAGGACAGGAATACGGCTTCTTCCCTCTGTGAGATCTCTGATGTTCGGAAAGAGAGCCCCTGTGTGAAAAACATTTTCCGCACTCACGACAAGAATACGCTTCTCCCCCGTGTGAGATCTCTGATGATCGGAAAGAGAGGCCCTCTCTGAAAAACATTTCCCGCACTCAGGACAGGAATACGGCTTCTCCCCTGTGTGAGATCTCTGATGTTTGTAAAGATTGGACTTCTGTGAAAAACATTTCCCGCACTCAGGACAAGAATACGGCTTCTCTCCAGTGTGTAACCTCTGATGTGTGGTAAGATTGGACTTCATTGAAAAACATTTCCCGCACTCAGCACAGGAATACGGCTTCTCCCCCGTGTGAGTTGTCTGATGTTTGTAAAGACTGATCTTCTGTGAAAAACATTTCCCGCACTCGGGACAGGAATACGGCTTCTCCCCCGTGTGCAATCTCTGATGTAAGTAAAGACTGGACTTGTCTAAAAAACATTTCCCGCACTCTGAGCAGGAATGTGGCTTTTTCCCCGTGTGAGACCATTGGTGTCTGCTGAGAGTGGATTTCTTTGAAAAAGGTTTCCCGCACTCAGAACAAGAAAACGGTGTTTCCCCTGTGTGATCTCTGGTGTTTGACAAGGTCTGATTTTTGTACAAAACATTTCCCGCAGTCAGAACAGGAATGAAGCTTCTCCCTTGTGTGAGATCGCTGATGAGTGTATAGATTGGACTTATCTGAAAAACATTTCCCACACTCAGGACAGGAAAACGGCTTCTCTCCAGTGTGACATCTCTGATGTATGGAAAGTTTCCACTTATATGAAAAACATTTCCCACACACCGGACAGGAATGCGGCTTCTCACCTGTGTGAGATGTCTGATGTCGAGAAAGACTGGATTTTTTTGAAAAACATTTCCAGCACTCAGGACAGGCATGTGGCTTCTCTCCCGTGTGAGATCTTTTATGTTCATTAAGATTGAATTTAGAATGGAAACATTTCCCGCACTCAGTACAGGGAAACCTTCTAATTGTTGGAAAGGCCGGCCCGGTCCCGCACAGTCTGAGGTTCCTCAGGATAAAGGAATCCGATGGTCCATCTACACTGGGTGGTGCCGGATGGACATTGGATGGAGCCGGGTTTTCTCCTGGACTATACTGTGTGATGTCCTCATCTTCTACTTTCCAGTCTGGAGACAAAGTGAGACAATCCTCTGAGGTTTTCCTCATCTCCAGGCCATGGACTAAAAGACAAAGGATTACTAGACAGGAGCTGATTGGTTCCCCCAAACCAGAAAGACAGAGAAAGATCCAATGAGAACTTTATCATCTGGACCAATCAGTGAGAAGTATGGGTGGAGGAATGGATTTAGTGTTCATGACCCACCTGTGCTGATATCTGTAGGAGTGTCCTCCTCTATAAATGTCCCCGTTCTTCCATCCTCCTCCATAGACTGCTGATCATCCCTCACATATGCCTCTTCTTCTGATTTCACCTCAAATTCTATATCGATTGGATCTCCACTCTACATCAAGAGAAGGAGAGGAAATATAACATTGAAAGTGGCTGTAAACCTGCAAAAATCAAACAAAAATAGAACATAAAATCTAATAAAGAAGAAGAGCACAAGCCATTTGTGAGAAGTGTGGCTGGTAGAAGAGCAGCCTGCCATCAGCAATCCTCTCCGCAATATTGAGAAGAAAAAAAAAAAAAAAGAAAAAAAAAAAAAAAAGGGTGACGCCATGCCCCTTGATTGACAGCCTGTATAATGAGATATATACAGGAGGAGGTAAGAAGGAGGCATGTCTGCTGCTGCTGCTCTGCAACTCCCGGAGAGAGAGAGGGGAGAGAGAGAGGGCGGAGGAGAGAGAGAGAGGGGGGGAGGGAGAGAGAGAGGGAGAGGGGGGGAGGGAGAGAGAGAGGGGGGAGGGAGAGAGAGGGGGGAGAGAGGGGGGGGGGGGGGGGGAGAGAGAGGGGGGAGAGGGGGGATAGGGAAGACAGAAAAGGGGGAGAGGGGGAGAGAGAAAGGGGAGAGAGGGGGGAGGGGAGAGAGAGAGGGGGAGAGGGGGAGAGGGGGAGAGAGAAAGGGGGAGGGGGGGGGGGGGAGAGAGAAAGGGGAGAGGGGGGGGGGAGGGGGAGAGAGAAAGGGGAGAGAGGGGGGAGGGGGAGAGAAAGGGGAGAGAGGTGGGGGGGAGAAAAGGGGAGAGGGGGGGGAGAAAAGGGGAGAGAGGGGGGGAGGGGAGAGAGGGGGGGGGGAGAAAAGGAGAGAGAGGGGAGGGGAGAGATTGGGAAGGAGATAGAGGGGGGAGGGAGAGATTGGGGAGAGAGGGGGGGTGAGATTGGGGGGAGGGAGAGATTGGGGAGAGAGAGCGGCAGGGGGGGAGAGAGCGGGGAAGAGAGAGAGGGTGAGAGAGATGGGGGGGGGGGGGAAGAGAGGGAGAGAGAGAGGAGAGGGGAGAGATGGGGGGAGAGAGCGGGGAAGAGAGAGAGGGTGAGAAAGATGGGGGAGAGAGAGAGGAGAGGGGAGAGATGGGAGAGAGAGAGAGGGGGAAGAGAGGGGGGAAGAGAGAGAGGGAGGGAGGGAGAGGAGAGGAGAGGGGGGGAGAGAGAGGGGGCGAGAGAAAGAGAGGGGGAGAGAGAGGGGCCGAGAGAGAGAAGAGAGAGGGAGGGGGTGAGAGAGAGAGAGAGAGGGGAGGGGGTGAGAGAGAGAGAGAGGGGGGGGAAGAGAGGGGAGAGGGAGAGAGAGAGGGGGGGGGAGAGGGGGAGGGAGGGAAAGATGGGAGAGAGGGGAAGAGAGGGAGAGAGAGGGGGGGGGGGAGAAGAGGGGAGAAAAGAGAGGGGGCAGGGGGGAGAGAGGGAGGGGGGAGAGAAAGAAAGGGGGAGAGAAAGAGTGGGGAGAGAGGAGAGAGAGAAAAGAGGGAGGGGGGGAGGGGAGAGAGGGGGGAAAGAGAGAGAGGGAGGGTGAGAGAGAGGGGGAGGGGGAGAGAGAGGGGGGGGAGAAAGAGGGAGGGAAAGAGAGGGAGGGGGAGAGAGAGAGAGAAAGAGAGGGGGGGGGAGGAGAGAGAGGGGGGAGGAGAGAGAGGGAGTAGACTGTGCCAGCAATGTCACTAGGGGGTCCTGGAGGATGAGGACCTCTTCTTGCTAAAATGTGACCAGGGGGTCTTGGAAGATGAGGACCACTTCTTGCTAAAATGTGACCAGGGGGTCCTGGAGGATGAGGACCACTTCCTGCTGCAGTGTGACCAGGGGGTTCTGGAGGACAAGGACCACTTCCAGCTGTAATGCAAATAGGGGGTCCTGGAGGACAAGGACCACTTCCTGCTACAATGTGACCGGGATGTCATGGAGGATGAGGACCACTTCCTGCTGCAATGTGACCAGGGTGTCATGGAGGATGAGGACCACTTCCTGCTACAATGTGAGTAGGGGGTCCTGGAGGACGAGGACTACTTCCTGCTACAATGTGAATAGGGGGTCCTGGAGGACGAGGACCACTTCCTGCTACAATGCGACCAGGGCGTTCTGGAGGTTGAGCACCGCTTCCTGCTACAATGTGACCAGGGCAATCTGGAGGATGAGGACCGCTTCCTGCTACAATGTGACCAGGGTAACCTGGAGGATGAGGAACACTTCCTGCTACAGTGCCCCAAGTACTCATCAGTGAGGGACACTCACTTCCAGAGACAACTCCGCTCTCATCCCGGACTTCACATCTATAGAAGAGAGGACTCAACTCAACATGGCCTACAACTAATTGAGGAGGCATTATTGAGAGATACACACCATGTGATTTAGGTTATAACTATATTATCTACTAAACTAAGCAAAAAAATTGTGTTTTGGGAATTTGGGTTTTCAGCCACTTCAATAATGCAAGACCACAGAGAGAACGTCATCATGTAGGATCCACACATTGTCTGGCATGGCTGAGTCCCTTTCATGGCCTAGATCCTTCATCAAACCAACCTTGTAATTGTGTGCATAGTTGTGGCCTTCCTGTGTTGAAGACCGGGAATACAGAGGACATCTCTCTGGTGGGCTTGATGGCTTCATCATGGTGTCCTCATAGAGATCCTTGTGCTCTTCAGAACACTCCTCCATCACTCCATACTCCTCTTTATACTCTTCTTTAACATCAATATTATCATCCCTGAGGATTCCACCCTAAACATTCAAAAAGAAATTCAATGTAACAAACACCCTTGAGGAACAATCACTAATAGTTGTGATTTATACACATCTACCTGATGATGGTAAGGGATGGTGTGAACTTCCTGTGTGGAATCCTGGGCATACAGAGGACGGGGACATCTCTCTGGTGGGTTCCTGTAGCTTGATGACTCCTCCATAGTGTCCTGGAACAGATCTTTGTGTCCTTCTGAAAACTCTAACTCCTCCATCACCCCATCCTCATCCTCCTCCTCTATTATCTCTTCTTTAACCTCAACTGTAGAATCTCTCAGGTTTCCACTCTGAATATATAATAAAATGACATCAATGGTAACAATGCAGATAATGTACAGATCCTAATGATACTATCAGTGATTGTTCCTCATCTATCTGATGATGGTGAGGGATGGTTAGACCGTCCTGTGTGGAATCCCGGGAATACAGAGGACGGGGACATCTCTCTGGTGTGTTCCCATGACTGGATCCATCTACCTGATGATGGTGAGGGAGGGTGTGACCTTCCTGTGTTGAATCCCAGGAATACAGAAGACGGGGACATCTCTCTGGTGGGCGCCCATGACTGGATCCATCTGTAGGAAACACACACACTGACTGAATCCATTGTTTCTATGTGTTTATCAGATAATGGGGGATGTAGGTGGATCCTCCGTACTGCTCTCTCCTTTCTAATAAAGTCTCCTCTTACCCGGTGATGTGAGGGGCGGCTGATTGTCCATCATGACATTCTTGTAGAGGTCCTTGTGGACTCCTCCATGGAGAAATAGACAGTGACACCCTGACACCTTATAGGAACCTGACACACACAATGATACAGTCACCATACAGAAACATCCCTTGGATTCAACCTTCACAGACATCAGAAATAGTTATTTCCTCCTCATTATTACTACATAAAATATATAAAAGAAAAAAGTTTGTATTTTAAAGCCACCTCTAATTAAACCCTCATCCCGTAATATCATCTAGTCAGTCAGTATAGACTGAGGAGGTGAGAAGGTGATTGGTGGGAAAGGTGACATCTCCACAATGAGGAGAATGTTCTGGCCCTGGAAGTGGGGGAATGTTCTGCCCCTGAAGGCTAATCTGGGTTCCCACACTATATATGTGTGTATCATCATCTGCTGGAGATAAAAGACGTCACAGTGACTATGGAGGAAGAGGACGGGGGTGACTGTGGAGGAAGAGGACGGGGGTGACTGTGGAGGAAGAGGACGGGGGTGACGGTGGAGGAAGAGGACGGGCGCGACGATGGAGGAAGAGGACGGTCGTGACGGTGGGAAGAAGAGGACGGACGCGACGGTGGAGGAAGAGGACGGACGCGACGGTGGGTTACTGGGTGTAAATAGAAAATAAGATGTTTTCACCTCCTCTGCTGCC